GGAGATAATAAATTGGTAATCAGCGTGGCTGCATGGTTTTTACATCTTTTACACATACTATAAGCTCATTTGCATATCATTGTCCAAAACTAGCTTAACTTACCAGCGATGCTTAGTTCATGCGTATTCGCTAGGGATTATTCATACTTTGTAATATACTATGAAAAGATAAAATTTTCATAATCACAATTTATTTATGGTTATCATTAACAACAGATCTGTGCGATTTTGAGACGAGCATAGAATCTTCATGTTTCCTGACAGAAACAAACAGAGATATCTTCAACTGGACTAGACACTCAGTATGTACAGTATTTTTATGCGCCCGGATCGATAGATCCAGGGCGTATATTGTTTTTCTTCTGTCTGTGTGTCTGTTTGTTTGTTTGTCTCGAACTTTAAGAAGGATATGGAGATAACGAACAGTATTCAATCTCAAAGTCCATAACAGAATACAAATTAAGAGCAGAGCAACCACGGATACCCAAAACATCAGAAATGGGATCAGGTGCCATGGAGGAGTGAACATCCCTTGCCGACCGGGCACACCCGCCGTGTGCTCCTTTTCAGGATCAGGAAATATCGGAAAAAATCCGTCGTCAATTCAGTGTATAAATAATGGACAAACTATTGGTATGAAAAACGTCAGTCAGCATTTGACTCAATGATAAATTGTATTTGCTGACAAGGTCATTGTATCGACGGTAGAACTTACGAAATGATGACTTTAAACGAGACTCCTGATATTCTTGTTTCATCAACTTGCTTGTCAATAATTTACCTAGTTTTAGAAATTGTTCATACGTAGTGCATGCTCTTGCGTATCGAATCAACTGAGATATATATACTCCGTATGCAGGTGATGAAGGAATATTGCTGCATAAGTAAGGGAAGTTGACGATAGAAAAGTTAAAGTCATTACGTTTATCATATAGCTTGGTTGTTAGATTACCATTAGTGTCTTTTTCATGTAAAATATCCAAGTATGAAGCAGAAGTGTCGGATTCTGTGGTATCTTTTATCTCAAGCTCACCAGGATGTATCGTATCGACGTAGGAATGGAAATTACCATTATTAATTGACAATACGTCGTCGATATATCTAAATGTCGACATGAAGGCCACAGCAAGTGTTTTCTTCTTTTCACACATAAGATTCTGCATAAATTCTGCTTCATATGAATATAAAAAATAAGTCTGCTAATAACGGAGCGCAATTTGTACCCATGGGATTTCCAATAGATTGTTGGGATACCTGGTCTCCAAAAACCACATAGATATTGTCAATCAGAAACTCAAGCATCTTCTTGATGTCAACTTCAGAGTACTTATGTGTGCAATCAGAATCTGTTTTAACAAAATAATTTTGTAAATGACCAATGACGAGATAAGTAAATTTACGAGTTCCATTCTTATTGAAGAAGCAGCTGTCAATGATATCAAAAAGCCTGTCTGTTTTTGTTCTGTCTGTCTGTCTGTCTGTCTGTTTGTTTGTTTGTTTGTTTGTTTGTTTGTCTTGAACATTAACCTTCTCCATAATTTTTGAACCATGAAAGATAGAGACTTCATATTTGGTATGCATACTCAACTAATTAAGTTATTTCAAATGAAACCCAGGTAAATGGCATTGTGACCTTAACTGTGACCTATATGTTAAAAATAGTTTTTTTTCTGCAAACTATAACCTTCGCCATAACTTTTGAGCCTTGAAAGACAGAGACTTCATATTTGGTATGCTTACTCCACTAATTAGGTTCTTTCAAACGACACCAAAGTCAATGACCTTGTGACCTTTACTGTGACCTTAATGCTAAAAATAGCTTTTTCCGAATTCTGTTTCCGCTGGGCGCATAGTGTTTCACAAACACATCTTGTTACCTAACACTTCGTATGAAACACGTCGCATAAAATTAGACCCAATATGATAGGTTATATTTGTTAAATTCGTTATAACAACCATAGGACTTACGAAATTCTTACTCTAAAGGAGGTTGTTAAAATCCATGTAACTGTTATTTGTATGATCAGTATTTTGAAGCACATTAAAGCATTTTAATCTACATGTAGTTTGGTTAATACTTGTTCAAATCATGGCTCCTGGATCGAGGGTAAGATGGTATCAGAACATGCGAACTAGCATAGATATTTTTTTATTTATTTTTTCGTACTATATATTAAAAAGTCAATATAAGTATCATATTGCAAGAAAGTTCAAATTCCCATTTCTGTAGAAAAGGGTCCCTGAGATTACCTTAAGGATCACAAGAAACACAATGGATCACACATTTTCAAAATAGATTGCAATAAAACTGTTTTAAAAACTACCAAGTAATCTTTAACCTGATTAATGAGCAAAAAACGCGTACGTTTTATTAACTCAATATCAAAGACCTATATATAATAAACTATTTTGCCAATACGACCACTGTGAAGTATAATACAGTTATTGGCTGGGTATGAGGGCATTATATGATTTGTTGGACCTTAAGGCAAAAAATGTCGCCCGAAACCGCAGGACCTAATATTGAAAATGTTGCCCGAGGCCGCAAAGCTGATTATAAAAAAGCGTAAACTGACCCAAACCAAGTTATCATCGAATAATTTGGCCAAGAATTTAAGAGTCAATTCTTATAATTTAATTTTTACATAATTAAACAACTGTGGGTGTAAAATTTGGCTGTCTTTTATGAGTTCAAATTTGCCGCTCAATAATACATCCTTAGTAACGGAAGTGATTTGAAACAAGGGGACGTAATAACTGATATACAGATCTAGCAGTCATGATGTTTATTTACACGAGGTAAGAGCGAGCTACTGTTTGAAGTTAAAAGTACATTTATTAAATCTGGAATTTTCCGTGAAATCCCATGGACTGGAAATGTGGGGATTGCATAGATACAGATGAATACTGGTTGTCAAGGGGGTGTGTCCCCATACCAAACCAGGTTATCAAAAAATGATTTGCGTTCCTTTTTGGAAATCAACCAATGAGAGGCGAGAATATAAACAAAATTAAATTATTGTGAGATGAACTCAAGTATGCGGTATTATCTTTAGCTTTTAATTATGATACTGAGATTAAGATTGAATAAGTTGAAGAATCAGAGGGCCATGTGGACAGTAAGTAGATCTAAAAATTCCTGTGGTATGACGAATCAAATTTTAGCTCCTATAAAGCAGTTTTCCTATTAACCAAATACGGCTTTATTTTTTTTACAAAGAGGAATATAAAAATTCAAAAGAACAACTGATGAACAGCAGATTCAATTTTACTCGGGTGAAAGTTGTGGCATACAAACTTTTTTTCTAGCAAGCACTGAATTCACTATCTGTAAATTGTGCAATATTTAACAATGTCATGTTTCGTAAAATCTAGAGTCGTAAAAGCCAATTTGCATTGAGATTCAAAGGGCATCACATCATCTTATCTAACGGTAAACATTTAACAATCATCTTCACGATGTCAAAGTTGTGTCATGTTGTAAATTTTGAATTTACTAGGGAAAGATAAATGCAAATTTAAAATTTACAATATTATTGTTTTGTAATAGCGTTCCTCTACAAATACTGTCTATCCGCATTATTTAACATGATATACATCATCGATATATTCATTCCAAATCACAGGGGACAACAAGTTCTGTTAGTACTGGTCCTAATAGCGCTAAGGTCGGTACCTACTACAAGTACATAGAAACATCCTCACCTCGAGTCACCGGGGACAACGCAAAATTGGTCAGCAATAGAGTGTTTGAAGGTATGTCTGAATTAGACAGGTGTGCGCAAGAGCACAAACAAAATAACCAACACATGGTATTAATGTTTTTTTGACTAATTTTGCCCTCGCAATGAAGCTGGACGATATAGTGTAATCTCCTATATGTTGTGTGTTGGGGGATGGGAAGTGGAAAGAGGGGCGGGGGGGGGGGGGGGTGTAAGTGTTTCATGACAAAATATTCCCGCGTTTAAATTTCAGACAAAACATACTGTCTTTCCATGTACTACCACATGCACGGATCAACGACCGGAACTCTGAAGATTCAGACCAGGACCGGAAATGACACGGCAGTGACTCATTGGGAAAAGTCAGGTGACCAGGGCAACCAATGGTACAGCATTGATAAACTCAACCTCCCTCTGAATAACAACACGGAGGTAAAGTAATTTCATTAGAAATATTTGTTTCATCCCATAAAGCTAATAATTTTGGATGCACAATCGTTTGATGAAAATTGAAAACCAATGCAGGAATTGAGAAACAAACTTTGGTTAAACTTATATTCCTCTTTATTTATGAACACAGAAGTGGTTTTTGTTTTTTATTTATTAATGATCCATGAAAAAACCCAGTGATTACCGTCTAAACAGAATTTTTAGCGAGGATTTAATTTTGGCATTATTAGCGAGGGTTCTGACATCGCTAAAATTGAATATCGGTAAAATTAATTGCGTATTATTTGTAATAGCTTTTTTAGTTAGCATTTTAAAATCGCTAAAATTACTTCTCGCTAAAAATAAAATACCAGATTTTAAAGCTGACATGAACTCTTAAAAAGCCATAATTTTTCATCTTTGTACGACTTACTACATTCCTGTACGCCTTAGTCCGCCATATTTCTTCGATTCCGCCATTTTTGTCCCCCGCTTGAAAAGTGGGGGATATTAATTTGGGTTTGTCCGTCCGTCCGTCCGTCCGTCCGTCTTTCTGTCTGTCTGTAACGCTTTCGTTTCCACACGATATCTCAAGAACCCTTTGAGTTTTTGCAATGAAATTTAGGATAGCAACTCCCTATGGACTAAAGAAGACCCCTATTGATTTTGAGGTCAAAAGGTCAAAGGTCAAGGTCATAAATAAGCAAATTCTGTCTGTTAAAACACTTTCGTTTCCACACGATATCTCTAGAACCATTTGAGCTATTGCAATGAAATTTTATATAGCAACTCCCTGTGGCCTAATAAAGACCCCTATTGATTTTGAGGTCAAAAGGTCAAAGTTCAAGGTCGTAAATTTATACATTCTGTCTGTGTGTAATACTATCATTTCCGGGCGATATTTCAAGAAGATTTTGAGCTTATGCAATGTAATTTTATACCAAAACTTCCTAGGACGTCTCTCGCCCCTCTCAAAGTGCCCTGCCCCGTTTGTTTTATTAATATTTATAGTATTACATGTCGCTATTTTTAGCCCAGGGGCATGAGGAGAGTTATTGCGTATAAAACAGGTTCTCGGCGGACTTTATGTTCTTATTACATCTATTAGAACTGTTTAATAAAGGCTAAATAAATCAAACACCATGGATTGTGTAAAATTTTGAGAATACCGAACATGAAAACATGAATATATACATGTATGTGACTTCAGTTCTGCATATACTTCACGCCAAGTAAAGCGATTCCGTGGTCTAGTGGTTATGTCTCTCGCTTTAAATGTGAGAGGTCCCGGGATCGAACCTCGGTCGGTCCTTTATTTTTTTTTTTTTTTTTCTTTTTTTAAATACTTTTTTTTTTTACTAAATGATAGTATTCAGCATGTGAAATGAAAAATGTATGAGGTTATAAAATCATCATTACAGTGTGATAAACATTCCATATAAAAAAATCTTCTATACACATAATAAAGAATAAGCAATCAAATCTTTATATGCATATTGACATACATGTATTTTATTTGCTTCAGTATATATGTATACATTTAATAATTCTACAAATTCAGTCAGGGGGAGCCGACTTTTTCCCTAAGCGGGGGACACGAATTCTCTGAATTAGCTTGTTAATTGAAAATTTTTGGTCACCTGTACCTGCTATATATAGCTTTGTAGAATTGTTTCACTTGAGTGATTTTCTAGTCTGGCTGTCGACATGTACACATCTCCAATAGCATAGTTTTTAGAAGTCCATAAACTGACCAAATACATGTTTGAAAAGTAAAAATTCAACAAAAAATTGGACTATACCGAGAATTAAATTATTTTTGAATGCATTTGCTGCAATAAAAAAAGCACACACCACGGAATACATTCATGTACAGCAAAAATCCATGCAGGTCGAGAAAACGCGTCAAACGCAGTGATAAAACATTTACCTGAGTACTGCTATCGTTACAGGGATGTGCACATGTCGAAAAAATTATCCAGTTTTACTTTTATTGAAAAATGCATCTCAGAAGTCATGTAATCCATTGCTAACTCAACAGTAAAAGATGCTTGGACACACGTGGCCCATGCCGATCATTTTATTTGGTCAGGGAAAATATCAAAGTTTGAAAGCTCAGTGGGGTTGATTGAAATTTTTTTTTCAAAAATAAACATAACTCTTGTCTGTAAATGTTGTAAATAAAATTTATGATTACATGGTTTATCTTCATTAAATTTATAATAAAGCATGCATTATTACGAATCATTCACCTTTTGAAGATATTTTCCTGTGATAGGAGGGGGGGGGGGGTAGTACATGTAAAACATGCATATTAACTCTCTCATAAAAATGATTTAAGAAAAACGTCTGAAACAGATTGGATTTCTTTATGATCAATTATAATCAAATAAATACTGTGTATTGGCTTTATTAGACCTTATATAATTTGATTTAAAGTTATTTATAATTTTATGCACAATGAAAGAAAAAGTGAGCAAGTTCACGTACCCCACGCTCCCCCAAAAGTCGAAGTGCTGAAATTCCCAGAAAAAAAAGGAATCGTAATTTCCTTGTAATATGCTCATCTATACATATTGCGTCCTTAATATCTGCAAAGTTTGACGAAATTGTGTGCAGCGGTTTATGAGGAATTGCGCTGACAAACTGCTCATCTCTATATTCAAGATATGGCCAAAAATCTAAAAGTGCGGAAATTCCCGAAAAAATTAAGAATTCGGAATTTTCTGGTGATGTGCAAATCTACACACACATTGTCTCATATAGATATCTGCAAGGTTCGACAAAACTCTGTCCAGTGGTTTACGAGAAGTTGCGCTCACCAAGGAAAAAAAAAAAGAAAGGACTGACTGACGGGCCAAAAACATTATACCTCATGCAACTTGTTGCGAGGGGTATAATAAATGAGTTTGATTCTGTGGTACAATGATAATGAAAATAGAATTTAATGTAAATTAAATTTCTAGACATAAATAATTAATGATTATTAGAAAAAGCATATAGGAAGAGAGAGCAAACTCCCCGTGAGAATTCCACATTCTACCTACAATTAGCTTTTTACAAATTCTTGTCTGTTGTCCAGGTACAGGTTCGACACGTTTGAGAAGGTATTTGAGAAAGTTTCCAAATGTTCCCATTCATATGATGTATATTTCACGTTTATTATATCCCCCGCTTGAAAAGTGGGAGGGTATATAGTAATCGTTATGTCCGTCCGTCTGTCCGTGCGTCTGTCTCTTACGCTTTGGGGTACCAATCTCTTATCCGCAAATCATCTTGTACCACTTAGTGAAATTGAATGAAACTTTCACAGACTCTTAGGTTTATTACATATTACCATTGTGCAATTCCTATTTTACTTTTCAGGGGTGTAGCAACAGGGGGGGACTGTTATACTATGTTAATTGAAGGAGTGTTCTTTTTTTTTGCTTGTCAAGTTTTTCAGGTAAGTAAAAAAAAATTCTCTGGGGCTGCCCCCCCCCCCTCCACTTTCAAATACGATGCTACGTGCCTGCTTTTTGATTCGACACATTTTTTGGGTTTAGCGACAACAGCAAAATATGGACTTTGCCACTATAACCATATGGGAGGCGGGTATCATTTAGTGAGCTCATTGCTCACAACACCTCTATTTTCTCTTTCAATTTGGGCGTTTGGGTTAATATCTTGTCCAAAGTAAAATTATTATTCAATTTATGAAGTCAACATCCCGCCTGAGAAAAATCCTTGATCAGTTCTAAGGCTAAATAAATGGTAAAGCACAAAGTGCGTAGGATCTTATACTTATTATTGCCCTAACGGATGGGAAAGGGAGAAAGAGAGAAAGAGAGAGAGAGAGTTAGTTCAATATACAAAAGAGTTAATAAAAATTATCCGTATTCAACCAGTGTCAAGTATCCCTACCCTAGCTTTCAAAATTATCTCCCAAATACTCCTAAAGAAATTATTTTTAAATAAAAAAAAATAGCTAAATTATCAGGCAGGGATACTGAAATCTCGAAAGACTCTGTGTAACAACATAAAACAGTTACATTCCTCAAAATGCACATACTTTGTTGTCGGAGTGACACATTTAAAAAAAAAAACCTCAAAGTTAAATTCGGCAGAAATGTCTGTCTTCCAAGAATATTGAAATAACGGTCATGTCAATTATTTTTGCAACCCCCCCCCCCCCCGCCTAAAAAATCAAATGCCTAAATATCAATCTGAACAGGGGATGGCCTTTCTCCGTGTGCGTGTGTGTGTGGAAGAACGTATAGATGTACACATAAAAATTTGTATTCTGGTTTATTGCTTTTAAGATTTGAAGTAATAATTACCGTACCTCAAATTACTTGGTTTAGATTTGAGATTAGTACTCAAATAATCAGTTTCAATTGACAACTGAATTTTGCGACGCAAACCAACTGCAGACTATATACATGTACATGACTTTGTATATAACGTATATTAGAACTACATTTAGATAGACAATTCACAATTATAGCTTATGAACAGCAGTTATAATACTTTACCCCCCCCCCCCCCCTTTCAGCTGCGCAAATACCAAATAACTCTCTTTCCACTTGTGATATTTTCCCTGACCAAAGTGTGATCAGCACGGAATAAGTGTATCGGCGTGCTAGTCTGTAAGGAGTAATGACAGTGTGTTTACTATTGAGCCTTTATGGAGTTTATTTCTTTTTTGTGATGCATATTTCAATAAATGGGATTCAGGGCGTATATCACTTGACTTGTGCACATCTTCGAACCGATGCAGTAACCTTATTTCCAGGTATGGGTACGTTTACAGCGTTCGAGGCGTTTTCTCGATATGCATCAATTGCATCTTTAGGACCTGCAAATCAAAGACGTTGGTTGTTTTGTTCATTCAAACGATATAATATCAAAATGTGTTTGCAGATTTTACTGCCTTTTATTTCAAGTTTATTCTACATAAATTGGCGCACTGTAAAAATACGTACTCATGCATCTAAATTTCTCTTCCAAACTTGCATTTTGTTTCTGTTGATTCAAATCAATAATTATTCAGAAATATGGTTATTATATTGTATATTGTGGTTTTGAAATGTCTTGATCACCTCATGTGTTCTCATTTGCTTTACCATCGGAGATGTGCACATGTCGATACCCAAACCAAAAAATCATTCAAGCGTAACGACCGCATTGGGGTATATATCGTTACAATTAGACAAGGTATCTGAAAGAAATATGGCGGAATACGGCTATAGTTGGTATGAAACAAGTCGTACATTAGATGAAAATGTTGCGTTTTTAAGAATTCATGTCAGCTTTAAGTAGAAATCGCTAACTTTCCGTCTCGCTAAACTTTCAACTTATACGGTATTTATATATTTCCAGATCATCATTGAAGGCTTCAGTGGAGGAAGTTACGAAAGTGATATTTCTGTTGACTACATAATGTTGTGGCCATTTCCTTGTGTTTAAAGACTTTTATTGCTTTCAACGTACTAAAACTAAAATCATTATGAATAATTAGTAGTGCTTCTCCAGTCTCTAAAATGATGTATGATATTTTTGATTTGACTTTTAATGGTATTCTCTCTTTGTAACCATGTTGCAGATTACACTTGTTTGTAGCTATTCAGAGCTCTTCGTAAAAACACAAAATGAATTGGAATTTCAATATGCAATCGTACTCAAAAGAAACATTGTAATTATTAGTTATAGTTATATTCTATTCAAATATTTGATATTCAGAGAACGGAGGAATGCCTTAGTGAATCAGAAAAAAAACCAAGCAGTAATCAAGTTCAAAAATCTAATTAATGAAAAAAATTGGGAGCAGAGCACATTTTTGATATTTTGACTTAACTCACAGTTTAGTACAGGTTATACAATTGCACTACTTAGTTATGTTCCCCAAACGAAGTTGGGGAACAGAGTGTTTTTACTCTGTTTCTTATTATTAAGGTCTTCCGTCTTCACGGAAGACCTTATAGTGATTGTATTGTTTCTTATTAAGGTCTTCCGTCTTCACGGAAGACCTTATAGTGATTCTACTGTTTCTTATTATTCTTATTATTCTTTTTTTTTTGACAAAATTTTGTGCAGGCGATTTCTCGAAAACTATTCAGCGGTTTTTCATGAAACTTTCACAAAATATGTGTCATTATATGAAGTTGTTACATCCGAAGAGAAATTTGGAAAATTCGCTTCTGGTGCCAAGTTATGGACAATTTCCTGATTTTAAAATGCGATTTTGTCGCCCCTTTTTATCGAAAATGGCTAAGGATATGAACTGGAGACTTATTGGAGATGATAGATCATGACTTTGTGGTTTGCAGAATCGCCTTTTTGTGCGTCGTCAGTACTTCCGGTCGTTACGAATTGCAAACTTTAAAAAATCGTATTTTCTAACTTTTTTGTTTTTCAGTATTTTTCATTTATATTTGGTATGGTAATAGAAGCCCTCCGTATAATGCTTACTATATAATTTGTTTGATTGTTTATAAATCTTAAGTCTAGATATTAGCATTCAAAAATTTGAAGCGGGTCCAAAATGGCGGCTGTCTCTGTCAACGCCGACATTTCGCAATAGTGGTTTACGGAGGCAACCGAGCGTTTGCTTTAACGAAAGTAATATAAGAATAAATGCAATGTAAAGGAATACTTGGATTGTCACGTCGTAGTTTCGTTGCAGTTCTGTGTCAAACTAATGTCTTCTATAATTGGTTTTGGCTGGTTTTAAAAGTAGAAAACAAAAGACGATTTAGCAAAATGTGCAAATGAAATTCGATAACTTATACCTTTTGTACATCACGTAAAAACAGATCTTAAATCATAGTTATAAGTAATACTTTCTCAAAAAAGAATATCAATTAATATTGTCAGTATAAATCGTAACCACTGTTTTTCCTATGCACACTTGTGTCATATTAAACTAATAAAAAAGACAAAATAAGAAAACGATTTTTTTAAAGATCGCTTCATGGAGTTTATTTTAGCATTCTTGTCTCAAAGACCAGATTCAAGTTATTGAGCATAAATGATATCTGATTCCTTGACCATCGAAGGGCGAGCCATGTTTTCGCGTGGAAAGTTTCAACCTTTTTCGATTAACTAATCGGGATAGTTCAGTTTGGGGATAAACAGGAAATTGAAAAAAAAAATCATAACCGTTTCACCGCTTTAGTGTTACATGCATTTATACAATATGGAATTTTTAAAACGTGTTTAACATACTTTCAAATCTAGAATCTTAGGCTATAAGAACGTTCTTTTTTTAATTTATCTATTTAATAGAACATTCCATAGAAAAGCGCGAAGATTAACTCCTGGCGTTTGGCGATAAATTTTGGATAGTGACCTGCCTTTCATAATTTTTAGAGAGAAGCATATTAGTTAATATATACAAGAAGATTTAGAGTAGAGGCCGCGCTAGCGTAATATTTAGTGCGTTGGAATTTCATGCTAGCGACTTGGGTTCAATCCCCCTTGTGTGCAAATCTTTTTTTTTACTTTTTCAGCTCGATTTTACGTTTCTTTCCGGAATCGGACGGAAGACCTCTCGTTGCTCGCAACGAGTTTCTCATCTAGTTATTATTATTATTATTATTCTTTTTTTGACAAAATTTTGTGCACGCGTTTTCTCGTAAACTATTCGACGGTTTTCTAGGAAACTTTCACAAAAAATGCGTTATTACATGAAGTTGTGCAGTCTATAATTTGTTTTGGAAAATTCGTTTCCGGTGCCAAGTTATGGACAATTTTCTGATTTTAAAATGCGATTTTGTCGCGCACTTTTATCGAAAATGGCTAAAGATATGAACTGGAGACTTATTGGAGACAATAGTTCGTGATTTTCTGGTTTGCAGAATCACCTTTTTGTGTGTCGTCAATACTTCCGGTCGTTACGAGATGCAAATTTAAAAAACCGTATGTTTCGAACTTTTTTGTTTTCCAATATTTTTCATTTATTTTTGGAATGTTAACAGTAACCCTTCTTATAATGCTTGCTATATGATTTGTTTGTAAATTGATAAATCCAAACTCCAAATATTAGCATTTAAAAATCTGAAGCGGGTGCAATATGGCGGTTGTCTCTGTCAACTCCGACATTTCGCAATAGGGGTTTACGGAGTCAGCCGAGCGTTTGCTTGAACGAAAGTAACATAAGGATAAATGAAATGTAAAGGAATACTTGGATTGTCACGTCGTATTTACGTTGCAATTCTGTGTCAAACTAAGTTCTTCTTAAACGTCTTCTATAATTGGTTTGGCTGGTTCTCAAAGTAGAAAAAGAAAAGACCAAATGTGCAAATGAAATTCGATACCTAATACATGTATCTTCTGATTTGCAACACGGAAAAACAGATCTTAAATCATAGTTATAAGTAATAGCTTTTCAAGAAAGAATATCAATGAATACAGTAAGTATAAAACTTGTATCATATTAAACTAATAGAAAAGACAAAATAAGATAACTATTTTTTAAAAGATCGCTTAATGGGCTTTGTATTAAAATTATTGTCTCGAAGATCTGATTCAAGTTATTGAGCACAAATGGTATCCAATTCCCTGACCGTCGAAAGGCGAGCCATGTTTTTCGGCGAAACAGTACAACCTTTTCATGAAAGTTTAACTAATCGGGAGATAAGATTTGGGGATAAACAGACAATTAAGAAATGGTAAAAATCACTGCTTCAGTCGTACTTGCTTACATACTTTCTTATCCTCGAATTTAAGGCTATAAGAACATTTCTTTATTTCATTGAAGCTATCACACCTATAAGATAGAACATTCCAAAGAAAAGTCGCTAAGATTAATTCGTGGCGCTTGGCGCGAAATTATGAATAGTGACTCACCTTTCATAATTCTAAGACAAAAGCACTGTTATACCAAGGTATATACAAGAAAATTTAGAGCAGAGTTCCCAAAAGCGTAATATTTAGCGTGTTGGGTTTTTTTTGCTGGATTTTCATGTTGGCGACTCAATCCCCTTTTATGTGCAATTTTTGTTTACTTTTTCAGATCGATTTTACGTTTTCTTTCCCGAATCGGACGGAAGACCTCTCGTTGCTCGCAACGAGTTTCACATCTAGTTATTATTATTTTTCTTCTTCCTGGGAAAATTTTGTCCACGAGTGATCTTGTAAACTACACAGCCGACTTAGGTGAAACCTTTTTTGGGTCAGTAGGCATCTTATGTAGAGTTGCCGAACGAAGGTCATTTTGCCCGCACGTGCTTGCAAGAGCGCGCACGTGCAACACCTGAAATGACCAATTTAAGGGATATTGCCGTAACTTTTCTATTTTTTGATGAAATTTTTTGAAACTCATAATGTAAGGATACATTAGTAGTATAGACAAGATAGCATGGTCAAAATAGCAAGATCTCACGCGCATGCATGCGCGCTTCGCTCTGATTGGCTGAAACTCAAGTCTCAATATCTTTCTTGTTTCTTGTCATAATCCTTTGAAATTTTGAACATAGTCTTACATTATGAAGATCTACCGCATGATATAAGAATTTTCATGAAAGCATGCGCATGTGCGTGTGCTGCAATCTGATTGGGTGAAACTTTAAATGGCTATATCTCCTTTGTTTTTTGACGACATTCTTTGAAATTTAAAATATAGTCATGCATTAGAATATCCTAAAATATGATTTTGAAAAATTCATGAAATCACGCGCATGCACGTGTGCTGCAATCTGATTGGTTGAAACTTGAAATGGCTATAACTCCCTTGTTGTTCAACCAAACAGGATGGGATTTAGAACTTAGATAGATGTAATAAACTCCTACTAGAAGGTATGTTCATCATGCTCGTGCACCTTGTGCACGCACGTGCGTGCATTTGGAACGAGTGTAATTAAATATACACTTGAATGAGTGATTTTTATTACTTTTGGACTGAATGCTTTAATATATAGATAGTCTAGACAAGATGATATGGTCATAACGCACATGCATTCACATGCGCTTGGGTGCAATACTAAAATTTGAATATAAATGGTATCCTTCTGGGAAAACATTGTTAAAGTCAAAAGTGCACAGAGTTTGTCTTATTTAATGAAGCTTACAGGGAATATGGCACCAAAAGGGAGTTGGGGAGCGTTTGGGGAACATCTGTAACGGTTCCCGTTACATTAGCACTAGTTATTTTAATTATAGCTTAAGGATTTCTTTTATCAACAAGAAGAAATAATAAAAAGGGATACCTTATTTGAAATAATTACCATGGTTTGAAAATGAAAAGTTTTACAACAGGCATCAATGAAATATACCACCGGACTATTTACATGTACATTCAGTTAAATAAAGTTTTGTAAAAAAAATATCTATTTAGAAATCCTGAATGAATATGACTCTTTTATTATACACACAACATAGGGCTAAATTTTCTCCAGACGTTAACTATTTACTGCTTAAAATATTCGATGAAACCCGACTCCCATCCTATTTGATTAGATATTATTCTC